ACACCCCCAACTTCCAGCCTCCACCCGCCTCCGGGCACCCCCCCGGCCTCCACAGCACCGTCGCCTCCACCATCAACTTCATTATCCACCACGTCGCCAGCGGCGACGTCGACACCATCATCCAAGCCCTGGCCCAGATCGACGAGATCCTCAAGCAAGAGGACAAGGTGGAGGCCATGTCCGGCCACATCAACCAGTTCCTCATCGCCACCTTGCGGCAGGTGCCCGGTCTCGCACCGCCGGGGGTGGGATTCAGCTCTCTGGCTGCATCCTCCGGAACATGACGCTGCTCTTCCAGACGGAGAGCCTGGCCCGGGAGGCCTCCACGGGGGTGCTGAAGGACTTGCTCCACAGCCTCATCACCCTGATGCTGGATTCCCTGGTGGAGGATCTGGAGGAAGGGCAAGAGGTGGTCCAGTCCATCAATCTCCTCATGAAGAAGGTCCTGGAATTCAGCTCTCTGGCTGCATCCTCCGGAACATGACGCTGCTCTTCCAGACGGAGAGCCTGGCCCGGGAGGCCTCCACGGGGGTGCTGAAGGACTTGCTCCACAGCCTCATCACCCTGATGCTGGATTCCCTGGTGGAGGATCTGGAGGAAGGGCAAGAGGTGGTCCAGTCCATCAATCTCCTCATGAAGAAGGTCCTGGAGCAGTCGGACCAGACTCGACTCTTCAGCGCCTTGCTCTCCCTGCTCCAGGATAGCTTGACGGCCGCAGCCAGCCCGCCCAAGTTCCCCGAGCTGGTGGCCAAGTGTCTGTGGAGAATCACGCAGCTTCTCCCTCGGACCATCAGCACCGTCCACCTGGACCAGCTCCTCCTGGACCTCCACCTCTTCCTGAAGGCGCTCCCCCCAGAAACACTGAAGCAGTGCCCAAGCCAGGCCCCCCTCAGGGCCCTGAAAACGCTGCTGCACACCCTGGGCAGGCTGGCAGGGCCTGAGGTGCTGGACCACCTCACCATGATCGAGAACAAAGGCGAGTCGGAGCTGGAGGCCCACCTGTGCCGGGCGGTGAGGCTGTCCTCCCCCCCGCAGGCTGCCGGCGAGACCGACACCGAGGCCGCGCAGGGGGTCTTCCGTGCAGCCGGCAAGGCAGCGAAGGGCAAAGTCAACGACATCTTGGCGGCCATCTTTAAGAAGATCGGCTGCAAGGAGACGGCGCGGGAGGGGCTGGAGGAGCTGTACGAATACAAGAGGAAGTGCCCCGAGGAGGACTTGGAGCCCTTCCTGGAAAACTTCTCCCTCCTCTTCCGCAGCTACGTCAAGCACGGCCTGGCGGTGATGGGCATGGAGCGAGAGGGCAAACAGCGGCTTTCTCCAGGCACAGGAATCCCCCTTTCGGCCCGGGTCCCCTCCCCCACGCGGACAGCCTCCTCCCCAGACGGGCGTGCCAACGGGGAGGCGGTGGGGCCATCCTTCTGCCTCAGCCGGCTGAAACTGATGCGCCGGCGGTGTGGCGGCACCAAGTCCTGCAGCCAGCTCCCCCTCCCCCGGCGACCGCCAAAGCCAGAAGACCCCCTGAGCCTGGTCTCCCGCGAGAAGCTCGGCAGCAAACTCCCCCGGTACGTGAAGACCCAAGATCAGAAATAGCCCCTTGGAGGAGGCTGCTTTTTGAGTGTTTCTCTGCTGCTTTGGCACCAGCCTCTTCCCCATCAGCCACCACCCATGATGAGAACGCACAATAAAAAAAGCAATATAGAGCGGTCGTCGGTGGGATGGCTTGTGGGCCGGGGTGGGGGCCACTTCGGCTGACACAGCTAGAAGTCATCTTGGTGTAGAGAGGCCTCATCTCGGTAGGTTTTCCATTGTGCATGGATGTAGGGAAGGAGCTAGGGAGGGGATAGTAAACAGGAGAACTGCGGGGGAGGAACGGGGGCTGGTTACTTACACAGCAGTAAGGCACGGAGAAAGCAACACAATTCCCAGGATATCAAAGTTTTCTCCCCCGCACCACACAAGCAGATTCTAACAGTTGCTCTGACTTGACAATCCCATATGAAGAAAGATTAAAAAGACATGGGCTTTTCAGCTTAGAAAAGAGGAGAGGAAGTGGGGAGAGGGTAGAGGTCTATACAATCACGACTGGTGCGGAAAAAGTGAATAAGGAAAAGTTATTGACTTATTCCCACAATATAAGAATGAGGAGCCACCCAATGAAATGAATAGGCAGTGAGTTTAAAACAAACAGAGGGAAGTTTTTCTTCACCCAGAGCACAGTCAACCTGTGGAACTCCTTGCCGGAGGATGTGGGGAAGGTCAGGGCTTTAACAGGGTTCAAAAAAGAGCTAGCTAGATTCATGGAGGTTGGGTCCATCAATGGCTATTAGCCAGGATGGGTAGGAATGGTGTCCCTGGCCTCTGTTTATCTGGAGAGGATGGATCATGTGAGAATTACCTGTTGTATTTTCTCCTTCTGGGGCATATGTCATTGGCCGCTGTCAGCAGACAGGACACTGGGCTGGACAGACTGTTGGTCTGACCCAGTCTGGCCGCTCTTATGTTCTTAATCTCTTGCTTAGTTTTTTAGGACTGCCAATGGCAGGAGCAGCTAACAGCAGCCGAGAGATTAGAGCAGGACTTCCATTGAAATCCTGGGCATCCTGAGAGACAGCCCAGCCCATAGCTCGGAAGGCATGTCCGCAGAGGCTAGCCTGTCCCATACCTGTGTTCTAGGGGTGGGTTTCAGATGGTCCTATGAAGCTGCTGGGACTTTTTATGGATTTTCTGGTCTCCTGAGAAGCACTCAGGAAGGTCCCAGGCAAAATGGTGCCCTGATTTCTAATACCCTGCAAATTGCTGTTGGGTTGTGCAGGGACAGTCACAGAGACCCAACCTGATGGAGGCAGAACTTGAACTCACAGCTCTGTCCTCCCCAGGCAAGTGCCCTAGCCCAGAGGCAGAACTTGAACCCACAACCCTATCCTCCCCAGGCAAGTGCCCTAGCCCCTAGACAACACAGGAACCCACCCCACCACCTTACCATCAGGCTGCCCCTTATGTCTCCTGCCTGGTTTTTGGCCACCCCATCCTATCCCATCTCATCTGGACCTGACCTGGGGGAGAACAAACATAAGAACGGCCGTACTGGGTCAGACCAAAGGTCCATCTAGCCCAGTAGCCTGTCTGCCGACAGTGGCCAGCACCAGGTGCCCCAGAGAGGGTGGACTGAAGACAATGATCAAGCAATTTGTCTCCTGCCATCTCTCTCCAGCCTCTGACAAACAGAGGCCAAGGACACCATTTTATCCCCTGGCTAATAGCCTTTTATGGACCTAACCTCCATGAAATTATCTAGGTGGGACTTGAACCCACAACCCTATCCTTTGTGAGTGAGCCCTGTTGGCCTGCCTAGGCCCCATGTCAGTCAGCCACTCAACAACCAGGGCTGGACTTTGGGACAGGCGACCCGGGCCTGGCAGGTGTGGCGGGGTGCTGGGCATGGGAGGGGGCTGTTTTTATTCTTACTAACCAAAGGGAAAATAGACCGTAGCATGGTCCCCACAGTGGTCTCCCCTCGCAGTTGCTGGGAGAAGCGGGGAACTCACCACAGCTGAGCTCACCGTGGGGGCCAGGAGCCACAGTGTGTACCCCCACGGCTCATTGCCTCTGCCCCCCAGGCCGTAGGAGACCCACACATCCCATGAACCGCGACTCCACGAATGGCGAGGGTCTCCCGGCTCCCACGTGTGGAGTCATTCCCTAACCTCCTAGAATGTTCTGGATTTTTTTAGAACCTCGTGGAACCTTCCAGACACGCTGGAAGTGACATCGTCCTCCAACCTAGACTGTTGTGGGCCAGGCCCTCGTGGGTCTAGAAGGCACCAGGCGTCACCAGTCTGTCAGGGAGACACAAAAACCAACTGACAGAGCTGAGCGTGCAAACAGCTTGTGTGACGGGGATGAACCGTGCATGCGAATCGTGCACCAGCATTGTGCAACGGGCGGCAGCTGCCTAACAATACATGCATTTGAAAGTTTAATAAACAGGGATGGGGAGGGACTCGTAAGGCTCTTCTTGCCTGGATACCAGTTGGCCTAGGGTCACCTCTGCTTACAAGCGCTTGGCTTCACGTGGCTTTCACCCTGGAGAGCTTGTAGACCAAAGTCTGTTCTGGGGCCACACAGTCGCCAGTAAACACCTCCCTCCCCCGGTCCTGCAATGGGGAGACCCACAGATCTGTCTTGATTGCACACTTGAGCCGTTGGTTCTTTATTAAAGTAGCCACCAGAGAGCCTAAGATGCACCAAAAACTTGCTACTAGTGTTTTCGTATTGTCCTTCTTGCGCTGTTTGCAGTAGACCCTAGAGGCCCCAATCTAAATGAAGGTCTCATTGTGCCAGGTGCTGGACTGATGCCCTAAGAGCCAGTCCGGGTCCCAAAGAGTTTCCAGTCTACATCGAGACGAGAACGGGAGGAACGTTATTGCTATTTTTACAAAGGGGAGCCGAAGCACAGAGAGATTAAACACGCAAGAGGCTTTGGCAGAGCCAAGAACTGAAGCCAGCTCTCCTAAGTTCCAGCCCAGAGCCTGAACAAGCTCCCGCCCCTCTTTCCATGCAGATGTGTGTACCGTTGATTTTAACACAGTAGCAAGGCCAGAACAAACGCAGCTGGAAAAGAGGAAGGCAGCTTTCATGCTGTTTTCCTCATCTGGAGAAAGTTCTTTGCTCGGTGTCAGAAGAAAGTTTCCCTTTCTTTCTTTCTTTCTTTCTTTCTTTCTTTCTTTCTTTCTTTCTTTCTTTCTTTCTTTCTTTCTTTCTTTCTTTCTTTCTTTCTTTCTTTCTTTGCCTGCCTGCCTGCCTGCCTGCCTGCCTGCCTGCCTGCACCCATCACTGTCATAACTGAGGGCCTGATATATTCCAGTCGTTGCTCCTTGCGTTTGTACCACATTAGCGATATTTATTTATATTCATCATTTTTGCATACAAAAGGAATGAAACTTGTGCGAGGCTGAGCGCTATGCCCCCCCCACCATCCAACAAATCACTCACACGTGTATTTAACTCGACACCTACTGAATAGGACCGTACATATGCTTACTGTTGAGCCCCTAGCAAGCAGAGCCAATCTTGCCGCACACCGCAAACAATTTATGGGATTCAGGGTATGTCTACACTACGGCACTAATTCGAACTAACTTAATTCGAATTAGTTAATTTGAACTAAGCTAATTCGAATTAGTGCATCTAGACCTAAAAACTAATTCGAATTAGCGTTTTGCTCATTCAAAATAGCATGTCCACATTGAGTGGACCCTGAACCAAGGTTAAGGATGGCCGGAAGCAGTGCCAGCAGGGCATCAGGTTAGGGCTTCGAGTGTGGAGCTGCTGTCTCAGGCTAGCCGAGGGCTGTGCTTAAAGGGACCCGACCCCCACCCCAGACAAACACAGTTCTCAGGGTTCCCCGCTTGCTTGTCTACCTCGATGAGGGACAGCAAAGCAGTCCTGTCTTGGAGTGCCCTGAGTGCCCGCACTTGGCACATCACAGCACTCGGCCATCAGCCCGGCTGCACTTGCCACAGGCTGC